GTGTATTCCCTCTTTTTACACTGAAATTTTAAAAATTCCCACCAGTCGATGTGGGTATAGCATAGATGAGAAAGCAAAGTCCTCACATATGAGTTTTGCCCTTGAATAATTTTGGGGCACCCTCCAGATGAAGCCAGTGGACACCAAAGGATGTATTGGTCTCAAGCTGCAGCAAGGGAAGTTGAGGTTGGATATGAGGAAAAACCTTCTTGCTGGGAGGCTGGTGAAGCACTGGGACAGGCTCCCCGGAGAGGTGGAGGAGTCTCCATCCTTGGAGGTTTTGAAGACCCGACTTGACCAAGCCTTGGCTGACCAAGCCTTGGCTGGGGTGATGGAGTTGGGGCTGGTCCTGCTTGGAGCAGGGAGTTGGACTAGATGTGACCTCCTGGGGTCCTGTCCAACCCTCCTTGTCTATGATTGAATCAGGAGACAGTAGAGAGCAACTCATGGAAACTTGACTTATTTAACCGTTCTCTTTGGGGACCTTCTCTCCTGTCCTGCAGGCATCCCAAGCCTTATTGGCTCGGTGTGGTACGCTATTGGTGTGTATGTGGAGCGCTCCTCTCTGGTCTTGCACAATGTGTTTCTTGGTATCCAGTATAAATCTGGCTGGTCCTGCTGGCTTGGAATGGCTGGGTCGCTGGGATGCTTCATGTCTGGGGCCGTGCTCACCTGCTGCGTGTATCTCTTCAGAGGTAAGAACCCAGGGCAATACTTAAAAGCAAGGAAGATAGGAAGAATGGTCTCTCTGGAGTATTTGCAGGTGCCCAAAGCAGTGGGATTTTCTTTAGGGTCATGTCTGGAGTGAGTTTGGTCTTTGTGACCACTAGATCCTTGCCATCTCTGCTGAGGCTGTCAGGGTTGCTGATCAGCTTCGAACAGGACCGAGGAGGTTCATTCACTGAAGAGCTAGCAGGCATGACTAGCTCTAGGTCACTACTGCTGCAGCCTATGAAAAAAAGACCTCTTCTCTCCATCATCATCATCTGAGATGGTGAAACACAACTCAGTGTCTTCAGATGTGCAATGGGCACCGTGTTTATTAATGCTTGACCTATCTTTGCAACGTGCTTTGCAGTCCCCAGCTGGAAGCTGAGGAGCAAGGATGGCCTACAACGCCTTGTTAATTGGAAGCGTCCTGGTCCTGTGTCTGGTGGGTAAGTTGCAAATGGAAATGAGGCAGCAGAATAGACACTTAGGGGAGCTTTGGACTCTCCATCACGGGAGGTATTCAAAAAGACGGTGGAGAGTCACAGGTTGGGGGTGATCTAGGTGTAACTATGCCCGTATTGTACGATGGGGATTTCCCTGGTAGATACATTACAGAGAGTGTTACCCCCACCCTTTTCTGCTACATGTGTCAGGGTCTTTTTAAGTCTTCCCAAAACCAATGGGAGTTGGCTACAGCAAAGGCTGGGGACTTTGACTAGGTTGCACCAATGCTCCTGCTGGGACTTAAAGCCGGAGGGTCCTGGCTGGAGAGTCTTGCCCCTCTGCTCAGGGTCAAACCGATGCCACATTTGGGGTCAGGAAGGAATTTTACCCCCTGGTCAGATTGGCATGGATCAGGAGGGTTTTGCCTTTCTCTGTAGCATGGGTCGTGGCCTCTACCCAGGACCTCTTGAGTATGTATTGACAGCATTTTATAGAGGCAGGAGGTTGGCTGCTGTGGTTCTCCTGCACTCAGGACTCGCCGTAGAGAAGATGTCTTTTATTAGACCAACAAGATTTTTGCAAAAAAAAAAAAAAATTTTTTAATTTTGCAAAAAAAAAAAAAAAAATCTTTAATCGTGCTTTACTTGTGGCAGGTTTGGGTGTTCGGCCTGTGTTGTGGGTAGTCTTACACAGATTTAGATGATGGATTTGCCTGGGATGGTTTGCATGGGGCTGATCCTGCATCAGGGAGGGGGTTGGATAAGGGGGGTCCCTCCCAGCCCCACTTCTCTATGACTCCTCTTTCTATCCTTGTGCAACACAGATGTTGGCTCTGGGAGGTTTCACTCTTCTCACTCCCTGAGGAAGATGTACTCCCCAGCTGGCACCACTGTGGCAAACGTGTACCATCCATCTTCTCGGACAGCCACTGCCCAAATGTACGCAGTGGACACCAGAGTGTGAGGAGCAGAAGAGGGTGAGATAAAGTACTCCGCTCTCAGCTTTCTCTGTACCGTCAGAGCCCAGGACTCTAGCGGTTGCAAGACAGATGCTCAGTTCCCACTCAAAGAGATGTGGCAGAAAGAAAAATAATCAACAGCAAGGATGCAACCTCGGAGAATTAAGGACTCCCCCTGGGTTGAATACGGAGAGGTGCCAAGCACCTGCTAAGCTAACTCAGTCTGTCAGATTGTGGGTCACAAGGTTTGATGCAAATTAAATCAGCTTCTTACAGGATCAGGCCCTGATATTCTGTATAAAAACCCTCAGAGAGTAAGACAGAGCTGGTGTGTGCCTGACAACATGCTGCCAGCCCAGGCAGAAGGGCTTTGGCTAGGAGAAGGAGCTAGTATCTGAAACCTGGGGAGCTGGTACATGAGTGCATCCCCTTCATGAGAGCAGCAATGTGTTCATGCAGAATAAAGGGGGTTGTATGAAACCCCACCACCGCTGTCAGAGTCTGGAGCCTATGGATATCCTAGTGGGGAGCACGCTACTAAAGAAGATGCAATCATCCTTGTGACTTGCCAGCCTCGTCCTTCTATATTTTGCAAGCTTTAAACCATCTCCTGCAATAAGCTTGGTCTTCAAGATGGGCTGAAACCAGGAAAGGAGCTTTATCTGACCCGGGGAAACAAAGGCATTCTTCATGCCCTGATGCTTTGCAGCTCAAAAATGCTTTAAGAAATGCTGAGAGAAGGAAAAGATGAGTGCAGGAGGAATAAAGCAGGTGTGATTCAGTCGCTGAGCCTGCCGAGAATGGATGCGAAGGTATGGAAGAGAAAGGGATGCAAGTCATCCTCCAGCTGTTTCTCTATGAAGGTGTGCACCTGTGAGTGTACACGACAGGGAGAGAAGGCCAATACTGCAGCCAAAATCATCCTTTTTGCTCCTGTGTTTCAAACCATTGGAGACCACCTAGTTGCAAAAGGGTTTAATAACTGCCACAAAAGGGAGGGACTTGGGGCTATGCCAAGCATGTTTTCAGAGCTCAGGCCAGACTGGGCCATTTCACTGGGATACAAGACCCACGATCCCCTGATCCTAGGACTTAGGACCGTAGGACTAGACGGGACCTCAGGGGCCACCAAGTTCAGCCCCCTGCTCAGATGCAGGAGGTGCTGTTCCCCACATCCCAGACCCACGCCTGCCCAGCCTCTGCTTGGAAACTTCCCATGGAGATGCCCCCACAATGGCGGGGGAGCTGGGTTAGCAGCCACACAGGTAAGCACTGGAGAAGGTGGGTTCCTCTGGTGCTATCGCCTCTCCAACAAATGCAGATCCGTTTGCTGTCCCAAGGCTCATCCAAGGGCAGGGAAAGACCAAGGCAACCCAGGCTGTGCTAGCCTAACCCAATTGAAAGCCCAGACACTGATAGATGATGTTGTTTTAATGTTTGTCCTCCCAACCACCATCCTCATCCTGATGCTTTAAAGACCAAACAAGCTAAAAAAAATGCTTTTTTTCTAAGCCCCTTTTATTTTTCCTGTTGTATTTTGTTAGGCTGGGGACAGCTGCCTTCTCACTATGGATTTTTCTATAACATTTTTAAGTGAATAAATGGTCGTATATGCTAAAGGGGCAGTGTGTGTGCATCCAGTGTAGCAAATGCTGCCTTAACTCACATTGCATCATCCGGGGTTGTAAAAGTGTGTGGATGCAAAACCAATCTGTAAGAAATGGGGACCGGAGGGATCTAGGCCATTTGGGATGAGAGTGGAATAAAGTTTAACTGTGCAAAGTTCAGTCTAAGGCATGTTCAAGGGACCTCACCATTGCCTCGAGGTGCTGGGGGACAAGTTGCAGTCTATAAAAATTGGTCCTATGCCACATTACTTCCCAATCTGAATCTTGCTTGCGTTCGCCTGGTTATTTGATCACTTGTTGGCTTCAGTCTGTGTGACTGTGAGTCTGCTGATGGATTTGATCCTAATGGTAACTTTGATTTGGTGATGGCGATGCTGGATTTTTCTGAGCTTTGCTGAACTTCCAGTTGGTTAGTTGGGATTGGAATTGGTTTTAATTTGCCTGCGTTAATTTTCAGTGCAATTCATTAAACAAAAAACACAATAATAGTTTTTTGGTGTTTTTTTTTACTTTCAAAACAGCATTGAAGCTAGGACGTCAAAAGGTCACTGGATAAGGTCATAGAGGTGTAGGCCTCTTTTGCTCACCTTCCAAATTCAAACCCATGCTCTTCACACCTATTTTTTTTTTGGGGGGGGTTGTCATGTCTCAGGAGCATTATGCCTGTCCTGAGGTTAACACGAATGTGTAGGAAGATGACACATGTCTTTGTGGGATATACCGCCTGCAAGAAGGGTGATCTCTCTTGCTGATGCGACAACAGACCCTTATCAGAAAACAGCCTTTCTGTCTGATAGAGCCATTAATTTGTCAGCTCAGGGGTGGCAAGTCTTTCTTCAGCATTGGGTAGGGCATGCTCAGCCCCCTCTGCACCTTAGTGACCTTTTGAAGAGTCTTATATTTTGTTTGGGCTCCATCTAATCCAGTGGCGTTCAACCTTGTTTCATTTGCAGACCCCTACAAATTTTCAAATGGAGGTGCAGCCCCTTTGAATGGTAAGTGTGGGTATTATTCACATACTTTTTGACTGAGCCTAGCCATCTTTTGGGGACCCCGTAGACATAGTCTAAAGACCCCCAGAGGTCACAGGATGAAAACCACTGGTCGAATCTATTTCCATTTCCAGGGCACTGCCAGCCTGGATGGGGGTTTGGCTGTTCCTGGGATTTAAGATTTTTTGGTCTGCTTGTGTCATAGTCACTCCTTAAAATGCAGGAGCCTGGTCACCTATTTCCCCTGAACACTGCTGGGCTAATCAAGCAGCCAAGCTGTCTCCTAAGACATCAGGATCCTCTTCTATGGGAATGCTCTTTCTCTCCCTTTCAAGTTCAAGGTCTCAGTCCTCCGACTCAACTGGATCAATCATTTGATGGTTTTTGCCATTAGCCATTTTCATACCAGGCTTTCATCCCATGCAGGTAACTAAGCCCCGAAACATCTACCCGGAATAAGAAGAAATAATAGCTCCTAGGAGGGTGGTCAGCAGCGTGCTCGGGACCATGGGTCTCTGTGCTCAGCTCCCCAGACTGATCTCAGGGGCTGAGCCCATTTGCAATGCTCAAGGCAGGAAAGGGGTGAGCAGAAGGAGCCTGGCGCTCAGCCGCAAACTTCTTGGAGGAGCTGGACTGGATAAGAGACCCCCCAAGACAGTCTGTGCTGTGTGTAAACCCTACTTTCCCCTCTGATCAGCACTGGGGAGGCCACATCTGGAGGCCTGTGTCCAGCTGTGGGCCCCTCCGCTGCAGAAAGGATGTGGACACATTGGAGAGAGACCAGTGGAAGGCAATGAAAATGGTTGTGCGGCTGGGGGACAGGACGGGTGAGGAAAGACTGAGGGAACTGGACTGATTTAATCTGGAGAAGAGAAGACTGAGGTGGGATTGAATAGCAGCCTTCACCTCCCTGCAGGGGGGCTGCAAAGAGGATGGAGCTGAGCTGGTCTCAGTGGAGGCAGATGACAGGACAAGGAGCAATGGGCTCAAGCTGCAGCAAGGGAAGTTGAGGTTGGATATTAACTCTTTAACTGGGAGGGTGGTGAAGCACTGAGACAGGTCACCCAGAGCAGTGGTGGAGTTTCCATCCTTGGAGGTTTTGAAGACCCAGGTAGACCAAGCTTTGGCTGGGACAATGCAGTTGGGGCTGGTCCTGCTTGGAGCAGGGGGTTGGACTAGATGTGACCTCCTGAGATCCCTTCAACCCTCATTTTCTAGGATAGTGTGATACTTGGGAATGGTCAAGATGGGCTTAATGAGCAGAACAGCTCTTCCCCCAGCCCTGCCTAGCAGCAACTGGGGTAAAACTCCAGGCAGGGGTTGGGGAAGGGAGGGGAAGCCCCTCCAACAGGCTCCTTAACAACAGCTTGGCAAGAAGATCCCATGGGATGGGGAGAAAACTGAGATTATCAGGTCCTTGGGAGGACCAGGAGCCGATGTCCTATTGGGCCAAGGTGCTGTGACAGCCCCTGAGAGACGGGATGATGGATCAAACCCTTCACACGTACCTTAGGACAAGAAGTGACCTGATGTAGGTCCTTTTGGTAGGTAAAGACCGGTCAGCAGACACAAATATTGAAAGCTGGTAAATCACCTCCCTGATTAGTTTTTTCCACTCTTTCCAAACAGATATTGATTTCCCATTGCATTGCACACCAGATCATAGTTTTCTAATAAAACACTGACACCTGCATGGCCCATTTTCTGCCTGCCATATTTCAGCCTCCCTGCCATCTTCATCAGCTTCAATTAGCCACAGAAATAATGTCCTTTGCTCTGATACTTTAGGAAGAAACAATTCACCGATTTGGACAGCTTATTTTATAATATACGGATCCCTTCCTCTCACCCCCACCCGTGTTTGTGCAATGTTTGTAGTTGGCTGGGGGGGCCTTGACTAGGAGGTGGATCCAGAAAGTAGGATTTTTCTTGATTAGAGAAATCCTAGAGTCATGGGGCTGGCAGGGAACTCCAGAGGTCACGTCCAGTCCAACCCCTGCCTGAGGCAGGATCAGCCCTGTCCCAACCAGCTCAGACACGTCCATCATCTAAATTCTACAAATGCAAGACATCACACCTAAACCTGCCCCCAGTAAAGCAGGGGAGACAACCCCCGCCAAGTCTGCACCGATCTTATTTTATGGTGCAATTTTATGGTGGAAAATTCCTTCCTGACCCAAAATGTGGCAATGGCCTGACCCTGAGCAGAGGAGTAAGACCCTCCAGCTAGAAATCGCAGGCTTTAAATCCCAGCATTGGCACAGCCCAGTCTCCATCCCCAGCCTGGGCTGCAGCCAGCAGCCAATGCCTCGGGGGGAGGCTTAAAAGAATACAAAAATAAAATAAAAATAAACCCAATCTGTCACCTGTAGCAGTAAGTGCACTTAATGTTTTAGAAAGGGGAGGAATGAAGCCCACTCTCCGAACACCGCATCATTTCTAGTCCCTCCTGCAGGCTTTTCCCAGAGGGAGAGGACACTTAAAGTTTTGCTTGGTTAGCAGGGGACCTGCCGTGCTGGAGGTAATGTCCCTCCTGGCAGCAAGGAGGAGATGGCAGCCGCACAAATAGGAACAAGCTCTTGGAAGAGATTTGATCCTAGAGGTAGGAAAGCAGTGCTCTGCTGATGGCTAGTGCCAGACCCCCTGCCTCTCTTTTGCAAGGCCCAGGAGATGTTGCCACGTGCTTTAGATGCACTTGAATTTTAAGCCTTTCCTTAAGGCTTTCAAGGGATGGGATAGGCAGGGAAGGGAGCAACTATTCAGGCTGAGTTTCTGCCAGGCTGAGACCCAAGCCTTGCAGATTCATAAGCAAAGATGAGGTCATGGCCATTAATAGAATGAGTAAGGGCCAGACTCTTAGCACCTTACTTCTTTAAAGGGGAAAACTACAGGCTTCCTCTGTGCCTGGGGCCCCAGAGGCCTGAGCTCCTCCTGTAGCATTTAGAAATAATGGGCAAACGCACAATAATAATGAATCATGACAACCCTTCAGGGTGCTTGTTTGCAAGGCTGTGAATGCAGGCTCTCCTGGCAGGCAGGACCTATTATGCCCATTTTACAGCTTAGCCCATTTTATCGAGTTCAGCCAGATTCACCAAGGGGTGTGCTTGGAGGAAAGGGGCATCAGTCACTATGGAGCCTGGGGGTGAGAGGCACAGCCTCTGCATCACAGCATCCTAGACATCAAATGCTGGAGGCTGCAAGGGAGAGAGGAGCAGGGGAAAACCCTGGTCAAACCTAGTTCATTCTCCTTTCCAGCCTCTGCTCTCTACCCCTGTGTGACAGGAGATTGGGCAAGCTGGGCCTGGTCTGACCCAGTCCATGGAAGCTCTTATAGAGCAGGAAACTGAAGCAGAAACACAAGTGTCTTGCCCAAGGCCATAGAAAGCATCAGTGTCAGAGCTGGGGATAGGCTGGAGGGGCTCCTGGGTCCCAGTCCAATGCTCACACCAGCAACCTCATCCCTTTTCAAAGCCTGCTGCACCAGGTAGGCCCCGGCGCTGTGCAGGGGTGCACGATCTGGAAATGGGAGCTCGCTTCTCAATTCTCATCTTGGCTTGGACTGAAAAACAGCAATGAAAATATGTCTTATGTCCTCTGCGGCTCGGGCTCGGGCTCAAGAAAGCTCCCGGGGGGCTGGGATTCATGCAGTTAAAGCACAGATGCAGGACAGGGCCCACTCTGCAAAGGGCTTCGTTGCAAGACATCCTGCCCTTTAGGGGCTTGAGGAAGCAGCTGTCTAGACCTGCCTGGCAAAGTGGAGCTCCAGGCCTCATGGACACATAGCAGGTTTCCTCCAACAAACCCCCTAGACCGGACCCCAGGGCTTTCAGATGGAGAGAGACCGGAGGAACAAGAGCATCTCCTCTTTGGAGTTTTCTCCCCTTGCAATCTGCTCATCATCCACGACTGATTTCCCACGCTGGAAACCTCCCCCTGAGATGCCCAGCCTGGGTAGGATATTGCTTCATTTTGCTTCAGACCCAGAGGGCAGCTGTGGCTTTCCCATGCAGTGCATGACTCTATTATTCAATTCTCGAAGGCAGGGAAGCAGCGAAGGCCGAACAACGCTGCTCTCCCGTTGGTCCCTACTTTCACTCCTGATAGACACCAAGGCAATTAGCCCAGCTCATTATTTACCCACTATCAAGACTTGTTGGCAGTGGATTTGTTTTCTAATGTGATTTGCCATCTCTACTTCCAGTTAATGCACAGTATAAATTATGGGGCGAGTGTTGGTTGGAGGGCATAACAGAGCGCTCTCAGCACCATTACAGCCGAAAGGGACGGACTTCTACGCCGATGCATTAAAACAAATGGCTCCTCTTCCCTGGTCACTTCTGGAAACGCACACCAGTCTATGAGACCCCTGCCATTCATTAGGATCGGAGTGCCACGTGGGGTTACCCTCAGTGCAAAGCAAAGCTACAGATCTTGCAGAGGTAGGAAGAGAGTCCCTGGGGAACCGGAGAGACTCTTGTTGCTTGGAGAGTGGTGGGAAGGGTCCAGGATGGGTGTAGAAAGGCTCCTGCAGATCAGCTTCTGCAGGGCTAAATACTCTTGCGAGGAACTAGCCCCATTTTGCAGGTGGGGAAACTGAGGCACAGGGAGGCAGCACAACCAAGGACACCCATTGGATCAGTGGCGGAGCCAGCACTAGATTGGAGGTTGCTGAGATCATTGTCCTGCCCACTAGAGCACGCTGCCTCCCTATATAAGGAGTTCACAGCTTTGCATTGAGCAGGTCACCTATATCCAGCTGACCGAGGGTGGTGCTGGGAGGAGTCTCATGCTGTTCGACCCTCAGCACACACCGAGCCCTGCCTGACTGTGCACCAGGCTCGCCTGCTCTCGGGGAGCTCCGTGCACCTGCACCGAATGGCTAAGACTCACACCAGCCCCCCCCATTGCTCCCAAAATACAGGAGAGGGTCCTGACCTGGCTTGGTGTTTGCACGGAGTTGCTCAGTCCCCAGCAGCAACCGTGCAGGGTTTCTCATCTGCTTCCGCACACCACCACCATCCTCACAGTGCCCAGCGAAGCCGAGCCCAGCACCCTTCACAGGTTTCAGGGCTGACCTGGTTTTCAGGCCCTGAGCCCAGACAGGGCTAGCAGGCACCTTGCCTCTGAGATCAGCCGGCCACTCTGCCCAGCCTGCGAAGGACAGACCGACAGCCGGGTCCCTACAAACTCAGCTCCGTGGCCAAGCCAGGCTGGGGCAGCTCATGCCCACAACCCCCCTAACCCCGTTGCAGGTCTCCAGCAGCTGGGCTCGCTCACCTCAGTAAGCACCATCTGACCCAGCCCAGCCTCCTGGGCCACATCATTCAAAAAGGGCAGCTTGGCCCCAGACTCCTTAGTCCTTAAAGCCTTTGGTCACCTTTTATGAGGCCCTTTTCCTCCAGGGGACGGGAGACAAAAGCACCCCCACGTGAGCCCTTTGGGTGCCCAGACCTTTCCCATTTGCTCTCGGCTGGAGCTCGCACTTCTGCGGAGTTGCAAAAGGACAGTGCTTGTGTAGGCTGCACGTAGGAGAGCTTCTACAATCTTTGCAATCTCCTATGCCTGAAGAAGGGTGCCTGTGCCTGAAGCTTGCAATTTGTTTTGCAAATATCTAGTTGGTTTAATAAAACATATCACTTCTGTCATGAGTTCTGATTCCTATATGTTGCCTCATGCATGTGAATACAGTTAGAAGCTTCCCTCTGGGATGCCGTATGCCTTGCTGTCTGTTCCTCCCCATCGCCCCTGCAGATTCACTGGGCTATGGCTTGCTTTAAATCATGTTATTTAAAGCACACCAGCCTGACACAGCTCAGACTGAAACCCCACTAGGAGCACAGCACAATGATCCCCAGCTGCCATCAATGCTACATAAAAACATGGACATGGACTGGGTCAGACCCTGGGTCCATCTTGCTCAGTCTCCTGTGTCACTGCCCTTGCCTACGGTGGGTGAACAGACCTGCCTTGAGTCCGTTTTAAACTTCCCACCTGCTAGTTTCATGCTGTGACCCTTGTTCTTGGTCTGGTGAGAAAGTCTATAATAAATCCCTATTGACTCTTCCCTGTTTTGTGAACCCTTCCCTCTAAAGCATGCCCTTAATATTGACGGGCACACGACCTCCTCTCTATTACTCATTATATTATTGGCCCCCTGGCTGGGCATTTTGAAGCCTTTTTGGCAAAATTTGGAAGGCTCCTGTTCCTGAACCTTGGGGTGCAGGAAGTCTGACTGATGAAGGGTGCGAAAGCTTAGCCGCTCCAGCAATATAATTGGAAGGTGACTTTCGGTGAAATTAAAAAGGCAGGGACGTATTTTGAACCAAGCAATTAATAAGCAGCAGACAATCGTGTTTTATGCAGCATGTAATGCAGACAACCTGTGGAGCTCCTCGCTGCCAGGGGTCATTGCGGCAAATGTGCTGGCTGGCTTACAGGAAACGATGTGTAAATTTAATGCCTACTCCGAGGCAATGCAAGCTCTGATGACAAGTGTCATTTAGGATCGAGCTTCAGGGCATAAACTGGAGGGGTGGCGCGGAGGAGGTGACACACTGGGCCTGATCCTGAGAGAGCGGGGCCACCTCCAGCTCCTGTTGAGGGCAAGAGGCCGCTCAGGAGAGACGCAGTGATAGTGCAGAGAGGCCTGGGGGTGAGCGGGTGGAGGGTGAGAAGAGCTCAGGGCTCCTGAAGCTGTGACTGACCCTGTGAACACCACTAGTGCTGCCTTTCTGGATCCTGTGCACATGACTTCTTCTTGCTAGTCCTAGTGCTTGTACTCTTACCCCAGGCACAGACGCCGGTTTTGCTACAGCCATGTTTATGACCTCCTGTGCTCGAGTCAAGCGTTTGAGCAGCTGCTAACGGAAGGTTTTATGGGGACCATTTGCCTGAACAGAGATTTCTTCTCTCGGACTGTGCCGTTATCCTGCGGCTGTTTCTGCAAAATCCCTAATGGGTTTATGCTCCCCCGGCTCTGCGGGGTGGGGCGGTGCTTCTCTCTCATGCAGATGGGGGCTGGGGCAGAGAGCTGGTTGCATGACTCGTCTTTGGAAGGAGCAAAGGAAGTCCCTGATTTAACAAGCAGCAGAAGCCAGGTGTTTTGGTTCCTGCTCCAGCATCCTAGCCGTCCTTCTAGACCTTAAATGTGGGAGGGTGCAAGTGGGAGAGGGACAGCAAGGAAAACCCTGATCAGAGCCGCTCTCTGACCCCGTGGGTGCAGCTACACATGTGCATTTACTGCGCAGTAACCAAAATCATTGCGCAGTACAGGCACATGTCTACACGTACATGCCTGTACTGTACAATAAATATGGCGACTTATGCCGACTTGAGTGTAAAGTTTACATCCAATTATTTACTGCACAGTAATGCATGTGTAGACGCCTTGCCGTGTAGTAACACTGTGTGTGTGGACTGACCTGGGACTAACTTTAGTCCCAGGTCAGTCCACATACAGCGGTAATGCGCTTTAATGCTTGCATGTGTAGACGCCTGCCTATTCCACTTACTGCGCAGTAACTTACTGCGCAGTAAATTTAAGCCGGCATAAATGCACATGTAGACACACCCTGTGTGACACAGGAGGCTGGGAAAGAAGGACCTAGGGTGTGACCCAGGCAATGGCAACTCATGTTCTTATGTACTTTTGATCTGTTCTGGATCCTATGTCCGGTATTAGAGAAACAATGAACCATTCTTATTACTCAATCCACCCCCAAATCCTAGATCTCCAGCTGTGGAAGTGGCCAGGCCAACTAGATAACTCACAGGAAGAGCTGAGGGAGCACAGCTGGATGGAGCCATAGGAGATGAGTGGGTGTCTGTGGTGGTGGGGAAAGGCCTCCGAGCCTCTGCAGCCTGTGGTAGCCAGGGGAGCAGTGCTGCTTGCAATTACGTGGCCCTGGAGAAGTGAGCTGTTGGGTTGTCTGCGGGTCCCTTGTGTGGACGGTGGAGCTGGCCCAGCTCACAGGGTGTCAACACAAGTCACCACTCCTTTGGGGTCCATGGGGCAGACACTGAAATTCAGACCATCTGCACAGAGCAAAAGACCCCAAACCATCCCCCAGTTTGGCCTTTGTTGCAAACCCGGCAAGACTGACTGCCTAAACCGTGCTAAGTGCTTCAGAGGAGACAGACGGTCCCTCCTCCACGTGCAGCACCTTGGCATTGCCCTGCACATTACACCCCCGGGGCTCTTCCCAGCAGTGCCCTGCTGCCTCTGTGCCAGGCAAAGGAAGCCAAGCTTGAAGCTACTGAGTCATTCATCAGCCTTCACTTCACAGAGGTGCAATATAGGTGCAAGCAGCTAGAAGAGGCCAAATCTTGCAGCTGAGCCAAAATGAGACCCCTCCTCCCCAAATGGACAGATCCAGATTGACTCAAAGTAGGATGTCCTTAAAATTGGAAGCAGGAAGCCTGGAGCAAGTTTGCATTGCACAGGAAAATCTGCTCCGGGCAAGTATGAAAGACCAGGGCCATTTGTGTGTTGTGGCCCCTTATAGTTTGCAGTTTGGTGTCTCTTCCTTGCTGTTCTCACGGCAGAGTCAGGGAAGAGGCTGGGTTTGAAACACCTGCATGGAAGCCAGGAGCTTCCTCGAGGCACCAGAGCTGGGCCTCAGTGCTCATGTGTCTTCATGGTATCCTCATAGGAAGGAGGGGACCCAGGTCCCGTGGTGTGGAAAGGTGGCAGGGGAGCAGAGCACGGCTCTGGACGTGGAGGGTGGGCGTGAGCTTCAGACCAGGGGCACCGAGACATTGTGCTGGCTGGGGAAGAGAAGAGACAGCTGGTCTTGGTAACTTTACACCCTCCTGACTTGGGAAGAAGAGAGGGGTGTGCGTGTGGATGTGGAGGGATGCTGTCTGTGTGCATGTAGGAATGTGCAAGTGTGTGCCCATGCGTGCATGCACATGTGTCTGTGAGGGAGTGGACGTGTAATCTGCACTGATTTATGATACTGAAACAGCAAATGTGTTCACACAGCCACTGCAGCTCAGGGCCGGCACATAAGGCCCCCAAAGCTGGGGAAAGCCTGACCTCAAGCAGCCAAAATGGTGGGATCTGAATGCTTTCAAGGCACCAGAGAGCGTGCATCACTCACAGCAGTCCTGTTCCCATGCAAGCAAGTGCAATTCCCCCCTGGTCACTGAAGATCTCTCATCAAAGAGAAATCTGACCATATCCTTGTCCTTTGAGGAGCTCCCAGCCAGCCGTCGATGTGACCCACTGAGGTTAAAGGAGAGATTCTCCAGGGGCCATATCACATCCTCATCCCCCAACCCTGCATGGGTTTGGATGCTTCTTGGGGGCAGATGAGACACAAAGGGATTTGAACGTAGCATCGCTTGATCTACTAACCCCATGACAGTGCCCCAGTGATGGCTTTGATCCCATCAAATCCAATAGGACCCTCCCCCCAAGGGCCAAGTGGGTCATCAAGTATTCACAATAAGGGGCACCAAAATGACAGAGACAGAAACCAACCACAAAATGTGTCGACATCACTGAGGGCAAACACGGCCAGAGCGCGCCGGGAAGGCAGCCGGCTCCGCTGCTCGAGCCAGCACTGCAGGCAGAGGAGGATCCCGCAGGACAGGATCAGGGCCAGGACACACAGCAGCAGGAACCTGGTGCAGAAGATATGGAGGAGTGGGGGATGTCTCTATTTTGCCTACTGAGAGGCTAAGTGGATGTAGGGTGTGTGATTTTTATCCTGCCTTGACTGCTATAACAACTCCGTCATCTGCCCCTTCAGCTGAAGACACAAAGCAGCACCAAGGAAGAGTCAGACTCACCCGCCTTTTGCATTAACTGGGTCCTGGACCTCGCTAGCTCTGGGAAGATCAGGGCTGCTCCGTTTTTTTCAAGAACTTTCTTTTTTCCAATTTTTCTGCATTTTAGGTTGCATGGAGAGATCTCAGCCCTCTGAAAACAACAGCCTGCCAGGGGCCAGGCCCTGGGTCTTGTGGGGGTGGAGGGGAAGAAATCCTGAAAAGTTTGACATTAGTTTTTTGCCCATGAAAAGTGTTCATCTATCAGCTTGACTGTCTGCAACTAGTGAGGGGGGAAAGAAATGATTCCCATTCGTCGGTAAGGACAGAACACAAAATCATGGGCTCCAAGCGGGGAAAATTTGGGTGAAATACTAAGAGAAATGCTGTCTCTCCATTCATTCCTGTCTCTTGCACTGTCTCAGCGTAGGCTGTTTTGCCAGCTCTTTCTTCAGAGAGGAGTCTGTACTTACCAGACATGCCAGGTGCTGCGGTTTTCCTCGCGGTGACCGACACACCTGAGTGTTAAGAAGAAATATTGAAGAGTCAATATGGGGGGATTTTATGGAGTCCAGTCTTATGTTGTGTGAAGGCAATGGAAGCGTGGTCCTAACTTCAGTGGCAGATGGAGTCATCCCATTAAGCAATTGCTATTTCATAGATTCATAGACATTCGGGCTGGAAGGGACCTCGGAAGATCATCAAGTCCAGCCCCCCGCCCAAAGGGCAGGAAGTCAGCTGGGATCACAGGATCCTAGCAAGATAAGCATCCAATTTGCTCTTGAAGGTGTTAAATTAGTAACCTAACTTTTCTTGTGACTAGATACAAGTGGTACAGCGCTGTTTCCCTTTAATTATACATAGATATGTCACCTATGAGACTTGTGTGCTTGCCATCCCTGCTTTATGGCTCAGAAATGTGGACAGCATATGCTAGGCATCAGGAGACCGATCAGCTACCATATGACATATCTGGGTAAGATCCTGAACATAAAGTGGGAAGACAGGATACCAAACGGAGGTGCTGGAGAGCACAGGACTGACACACTTCGAAACAACCATCAAGAAAGGGAGGTTGGGATGGATGGGCCATGCTAAGAGAATGGGAGGACACCAAATCCCCGAGAATATTTTGTAGGGGGAGATTCGAGATGGCTCTAGAAAGAGGGGTCGACCTCTATGGGGGTACCCCGATGTGTGCAAAAATGTTCGCGGGTCCCCGGTAGGCTAGTGGTTGGGATTCAGCCCTCTCGCTGCCTCAGCCAGGTTCAACTCCCAGTCAAGGAAAAGCCCTTCCACTTGCTCCAGTGGCGCAATTGGTTAGCGCACAGTACTTATACAGCAGTACTTGGGTGAGCCATGCTGAGGTTGTGAGTTCGATCCTCACCTGGAGCAGGATTTTTATGGGGCATGGTTTTCCAGCCAGTGTTTTTGAAGATTGGAGGTGCTCTGGGTGACAGTGATTACAATTTGAATAGATTTGCCATCCACTTCAGACGGGCAGACTTTGGAAAACTCAGGAGTCTAGCTGGAAAGGCCCTTCACAACCAGTGATGGAGGATTCATGAAGGGGAGGCTCAAAAACCAGCCATCCCCATGCACTCAAAATGAGGGAAAGGAGCCAAGAGACCCGCCTGGCTCAACAGAGACATTGGGGAACTTCTCAAAAAGAAGTGTACATGCAATGGAAAAATGGTTCAGCATCCAGAGAAGAGTACACTCCTGCGGCCAGGGTCTGCAGACGTGAGACAAGGGAAGCCAAGGCATGCATGAAAATCAAGCCGCTGACTGAAATGAAAGACAACAAAAAATATTTCTACAGGTACATAGGGAGCAAGAAAGAAATCAAGCGCCACTGTGGCACCCCTACTGAAGCCCACAGTTGACCCCGTGAAAAGGCAGAGCTCCTTAATGCTTACTTCACATTAGCAGTCCTGAAACCAGGTGAGAGCGCATCACCTGTCCAGAGGCGCCGAGAGTACGGCAATGACAGCCAACCCCATAAAAATCAGTCCCAAACAGGTGAAGATGCTCTTAGATCATATGAATGTTTACAAGTCAGCTGCGCCAGACGACCTGCATCCAAGAGTGCTGAAAGAGCTGGCCGAGCTCGTAGCGGGGCCTCTGGCGAGGCTGTTCAGAGTCGTGGCTCTCAGGAGTCACAGAATCACAGAAGTCGGGTCGAAGGGACCTTGTAGATCTGC